GAGGCATGTTGCATTTGGTCTTTTTTATTTTCGTTTGATCATTTTATTGGGGGCTCTTACAACTCTTATTACAATCCACACATCAATTGTTATCAGGCATATTTGTACATATGTTACCATCGTTCTTTTCTAGACAGTTACTTTCTATTGAGCCCTTGGTATCAGCTCCTCTTTTACTCCCTCCCTCCCCCCACCCTTGTGACCCCTTGATAGATTATAAATTATTATTATTCATATCTCACACCAACCACTGTCTTCCTTGCCCCATGGTTTCTGTTGTTCTCCCCCCTTGAGGGGTATGTGTGTGATTGTGTGTCGATCATTATGCTCCGTCCCCCCTTCCTCCTGCTCCCCACCCTCTCTCCCTCCCCATCTGGCAATACTGTTCCCATTCCTGCTCCTGGGTTGCCTGTGCCATGAACTTTTTTTTTCATTCATTTTATTAGGGGCTCATACAACTCATCACAATCCATGCACACATCAATTGTGTAAAGCACATTTGTACATTCACTGCCCTCATCATTCTCAAAATAGTTGCTCTCCACCTAAGCCCCTGGCATCAGGTCCTCATTTTCCCCACTCCCTCCCCGCTCACCCCTCCCTCATGAACCCTTGATAATTTATCAATTATTATTTTGTCATCTCTTGCCCTGTCTGACGTCTCCCCTCACCCACTTTTCTGTTGTCTGTCCCCGAGGGAGGAGGTCACATGTAGATCCTTGTAATCCAATCCCCCTTTCCAACCCACCCTCCCTCCACCCTCCCGGTATCGCCACTCACACCACTGGTCCTGAAGGGATCATCTGTCCCGGATTCCCTGTGTTTCTGGTTCCTATCTGTACCAGAGTACATCCTCTGGTCTAGCCAGACTTGCAAGGTAGAATTGGGATCATGATAGTGGGGGGTGGGGAGTGGGGAGGAGAAAGCATTTAGGAACTAGAGGAAAGTTGTATGTTTCATCGTTGCTACATCACACCCTCACTGGCTTGTCTCCTCCCCAAGACCCTTCTGTAAGGGGATGTCCAGTGGCCTACTAATGGGCTTTGGGTCTCCACTCTGCACTCCCCTCTTCATTCACTATGGTAAGATTTTTTTGTTCTGATGATGCCTGATACCTGACCCCTTCAACACCTCACAGTGATAAATTTAACTCATTCAAGATGGCAAAGATGGCAACCAAGTAAGCTATTTTCTGCAGTTCACTTTTTTCTCTGAAAAGTGCTTCAAACTCTGTCTTGCTGATTAAAAAACGTTTTGAGTTTATCATGAAGCTCAAAAACATGTTTTAAAACGTTTCCTCTTGACAACCATCTCACTTCAGTGTGAAATAGTAGAGCATTATTCAGCGCATCCAACTCGTGCACAGTTGTGAAAACAGTCGACCGTTTAAAGTGCTGTCCTTTACAAAGTTGACAGAATTTATGATGCTTTTCATTACTTCTCGTAACTCTTGCAGCAGCGTCTTCATTTCTAATATTTGCCTATAAATCATACAGTGAGTTCCAATAACTTTTGGTGACTCAGTACCAAATGCCGAAATCCAGATCAACATCCTAGGATAGCTGGAGCACCATCTTTGCAAACACCACAAACCTTTTCCCAAGAGATCTTATGCTCTTTCAGAAATGAACCAGCTGTGTCAAATCACATGCAGTAGTTGTCGTTTCAAGAGGTTTGCAAAAAACAAACTCATCTTTAAAGTCACCATCATTAATATACCTCCCCAGTAACTGTGAACAGCTTGCAATGTCTGCAGATTTATCAAACTGGATGCTAAATATTGGAAGTGGAGCAGATTTAATTTCCTGGATAACCTGATCAAGAGTATCAGCAGATATACCATCCATTCTTCTGTGGACAGTGTCATTAGATAAGGAAATTGCACTCATAACAAATTCATCTCTGATCATAACTCCAACAATGTCTTTGGCTGCTGGCAATAGTAAATCCTCAGCAGTAGTGTGAGGTTTCATAGCTCCAGCGATTCTAAGTACCACCAAATATGAAGCTTCAATGGCTGCTATGTTTTATTTGTGGTACTTGCCACTACTATCAAGCCTGGCTTTCTTGAGTCCATCAGCTTTGCTTATAAAATAGTCGGTATCCTTGCCGGCAAAGCTCAGATGTTTGCTATCAAAATGGCGTTTTAGTTGTTCGGCTTTATAGATTCGGCTGATAGAACTTCACAACAAATAACACATTGTGGTTTTTCAATTCCTGCTGCAATTATTGAGGTAAAACCATACTGTAAAAAATCCTCACTATATTTTCTTTTCTTAACATTCTTCTCTACACGGTCCATTGTCATGGGATGGTTTGCTAATGGAATTAATATATAACAATAGCTTTAATAATACAAAAGATGATACATGGCATAGTTCAATCAATACAG